TAAGAAATAATAATATATATAATGTTGTTGTGTAATGAAGAAGCAACACACGGAGTTTAAAAGCTAGGAAAAGAAAGGAAAAAGGGGTCACCTGATGGACGTGTGTGCTAAAAAAGAAAAAAGAAAAAAGAAAAAAATGAATTGATAAAAAGGCAATTGTTTTTTATAAGTACATGTTTTATCTTCCATGATTGTTGCTGTTCCCTTGGCTTGAAGAAGGAGTTGTTCTGTGGGGACTTCCTCAAAGTAAAGCAAAAAACATCATGATAATTATCTGATCGATGCTCTTTTTTTTTAATTATTAATTAATTGGGCAACCTTTATTTAATTATGATACATATATCCTAATAATTAAATTATGAAATTTGAACAAAAACATTTTTATTCAAATAAAAGTTTTGGTTTTCTCCATCTTTCTGTGCAGGAAATATAATATATATATATATATATATATATAATACTGCTGTGTATATTGGCCAATATACAAAGGAAAATTAATCTGCAGTTTTAGTCTATTTCTTTTTATTGACCAAATAATTTGAACTCTTGTGACTTTCATAATGAGTCTTGAATGATTAAGCCTTGAAAGCAATTCAGGAAAACACTTTTATAAATATATCAATTTGTAAAGATCTATGTACTCTATATATAGTACTATATATCAATATCAATATCTATATAAATATATAAATATATATACACATATATAAATGAGGAGATGCATTTGATTCTTCGTTATTTTTCTCTTCAACTATTATTCGACATATATATATAGATATATATATATATATATATATATGGTAATCTGATTTTGTTGAATATTTTTTTTGCAATGTAAATTGATTATATTTATCCACGTTCAAGTTCCACCAAGTTATAGTTCAATATATTCATTTATATATATTGTCATAATAAGAAACAATTACGGAAAATACTTTTTTATTTCAGACATTACTATTCATTTAGTTTTTTTTTTTTTTTTTGAGGAATTCATATTAGTTATAAATATTTCAGGTTAATTAACATTTTTGCAAAAAAAGAAAAATGAAATTTTTTTTTACCAGAGTGGAGGTCCTAGTGTGTGTGTATCTGTGTGCGTGGAATTGATTTTCTCACCATTAAAATGTCATACGCACACATAGCCAAAGCTTTTCACCGTGACAATTCCCTACCAGTAGTGTATGTTTATAAATGTTAAATTTAAGAAAATCACATTAAAATATAATTTCCCTGCTACATACAAAATTGGCAAAACTTGATACAGATCATCCGACGGTTTAAAAGAAAGCCTTTTCATGTGGTACCATGTAATTCTCACTTAAAAATTAAAACCCTCTTCTCGGCAATTGATCAAACAAATAAAGGAACAAAAAACGTGCAAAAGAAAAGATCGGTTTTTCCTATTCTTAAGGATCTTTCTACAGTAGGGGTACTATAAACCTGATTATACCTTTTCATAGTGAATGTTTTTGAATCTCGACTGGGTTATTCACATCAAAAGCTATAATAGAACTTGATATACTATGACAGATCAAACCAAATCCCTGTCAATAGGGTTTTTTTTTTTTCAATACCTTACTGTACATATCTCGTTAAAATCACATAAAAAATGCAAAACTGAAAAAAAAAAAAAAAGTAAATGATACTTTAATAAAATAGAACCGGCCCACTGATAAGGTATTTTTTCCATAAATCCTACCGGTGTAAAACAATTTATGGTCAGATCACATATCAATTTCGGAAAAAAATGATAGTCTAACAAGTCTAAATAAGGTCTAATAGCTAAAATTATGTCCTGCGAGAAAAGGATATCAAATAACTCTCTCTTCTTTTCTTTTCCTTTCTCACCGTGATCTATTTGTGAGGTTGTCTGCTTATAATTTTTTATGGGATAAAATCATTTTAGTACCCTATATCATAGCAAAATATGTCTTTAGTATCATGTAGTGTTTTTATAATATTAAAACGATACCTTAAAGTTTTAAAAACTTCTTCTCGGTATCCTGAAACTAATTTTTAAGACATGTAATGTCCAAACTACCATTCTTATCAATTAAATATAAATTATTATTTTTTTTTAAAAATTAAAAATATTTTAAAACATTAAAATATTTAAAAGAAAGCAAAAAAATAGAAAAGTTCATGATTTTTTTAGATATATTAGTTTTTTATTAATTAAATAGAAGGATACTAATGTCATTTTATGTTTTAAAAATCAACTTCACAGTATCAAGAATATGTTTTTAAAAACATCGAGATACCACTTTAATATTATCAAAGATAAAGTCTATTAAAAGTATGTTTCGCTATAGCACATTACGATACTAAAATGATTTTATACCTAATTTTATTAACGATGACAAGTTTCAGCCTTCAGGAGCTCGCTTTTTGTCAGTGTGTCGGCAGAGGCTCCTTTAATTAGCAAAACAAAGGTGAATATATATCACGTTTTTCTCTCTTAGGTCTCATACCAGTTTTTAGTGCGCACTACACGCGTGTGATTCATTTAAAATTACGGGTTATACAAATTGTTTTAATTTACTTTGTTGTGTTGTACAAAACACGTTAGAGTACAGTGACCCGAAGCTTATTTGGTCCGGCCCGAAATGTTCACGGGTGCGATATATATGGTGAAGCTTTAATTATGAAAATTTAACTTATTTTGTTGTGTTTAAAATTAGATTTATTTTGTTTTGTTTGCTATGTTATTTACTTAATTCAGTGTGGTTTTATTTTATTCTAGCGTATATTTGTATAATTTTATTTTTTATTCAAATTATTTGTAGTATTTTTTATCGGAATAGCATCAATATTAGTGGAAATCAATATTAAAATGGACAAAATTAAAAAACAAATCAGTTCAAAATAAATAAATATAAATAATAATAATAATAAATTTATGTATTTTTTGGGCCGTCTGATCATAAGGACGAACAACCAATAATAGCATGTGCATCCCACACGCAAGCAAGGACACGTTCAGTGAAGGAAGGGAGATAGGCCGTGTCAAGAAAGAATAAATTATAAGGAAAAAAATAAGAACGAGAAAAAAGGATGATAAAAAATGAAAAGAGAGAAAGAAAAGGGGATTTAAAAAAAATACAAAGATGTGTATGGAAAGGATTTATTTAACAGGAAAATAGAATGTGTAATAAGACAAGAGTGAGGGAAAACCGAACAAAAAAAAAGGAAAAAAAAAAAAGAAGATGCGTTCTGCGGGCTAGAGATTTTTTAAGACAACAAAAATATTATTCATCCTCACGTAGATAAAAGAGAAATAGTAGAAAATAGACCAATATGAAAAGCTTAAAAAGTTATATAGGCCAATTTTTAGTTATAGAAATTAATAGGCTATAACTTGTCAAGTTATAGTTCATAACCAGATAAGTTATGGACAAACTTGTCAAGTTATGGTTCATAGCCAGACAAGTTATAGACAAAAACCGTGAATTATGGATAATAACTTGTCAAGTTATGGTTCATAACCAGACAAGTTATAGACGAAAACAGTAATTTGACCTATTTATTAACTTATGTAAATTATTGGCCTATTAATTTTAATTCATCTCAAGTCTTGGCTTATTTCTCTCTTTTTCCTTAGATAAAACCCCATCACTAACAAAGTGACAACCTAGCTAAACCCACTTTATATGAGCAGCATGGTTTTATCTCTATCAAAATGAATAGAAGTAAAATTAAAATAATGATTAATCTTAAATTTAATTGTCAAAAAATAGAGATTTAGACAAAGAGAGAAAAAGAAAAAATTCCAAAGAGAAGAAGTTGACAAAAGTAAAAGTAAAAGCCAAAGGAAAAAAAAACCTGGTGGACGCAAAGAAAGAGAAGGAAATATATATATATATATATATATATAAGTTTGTCAGAATATACATTTTTTTCTCTTTTTCCTTTTCTTTTTCCATAATCCATAAATTTTGCTTTAAAAAAAAGAGGTCCTATAGCATATTTAAATTCGTAGAGCTATTTCTTTTCCTTTATCGTTTACAAATATAAATTAAAGAAAAATATTCCATATGCCAAGGGCATATGGATATGGTGTTGTTTTTGTGGCATATATTAATTAATGTAGCCCACGTCAACACCATCATATTATCAATTATATAACAAATGAGGAAATATAACTATTTGTGAGCTATGTACATACATATATAGATAAACATATGCTGTCATGCATGAGAATGGTGATCTTGTAACTATTTAGGATAGTAGCATTTAAAATGTCGTTACGGAAAGAGAAAAATATTAGATATCATCACTAGTTTAGATTAGAATCACAGAGTAATTTTGTACTTGCCGCTAGCTAGTTAAAAATTCATGCATGCGTAAATGTCTTGAGCCCTTTGTTATATAAGTTGTAGATTCTTTAAAAGGACATAGTGGTAATTAATTTTATGCTTAAATTATAGTAGTTTAACAAACATTAGTCAAGATTCAAGTAGCTAGGTTAATTATGCCTCATTTGATATAATAAAATCTAGAGAATTATTGAACTTACCCTTAAGAATGCTTAGATCTTAATTTGTTGATTAATATCTTTTTATTAATACTCTTTTTATTAATATAATTATTTAACTGAAAGGATATTAATTAAAAATAATAATAAAAATCTAGATTCGTACACTTATAGATGGCATTTGTGTCCTTTCCCCTCTGATCTATACTTGTCCGCGCGCTCATCAAATAATTAAACTTACCACACACATGTGATTATTGTCCATTTAGAATTGTTATGTAATATTTATTTAATTAGGCGATAATATGTTAGATTCATCTGGTCTCACAATTAGTCATGCAAACAAAATATAATAATTATTATTATATTATAATTATAATTATGTAATAGAGTGCTCCTTTATTTTTTAATTAAAATCTAGGCCAAAACATCATTATTAAAATCTAGACACCTTTTCTGCGTAAACAACATTCACCTATAAATTCAGATACATAAAAACCCAACCATCCATCTCTCATCACAAGGCTACAATAACACATTTCCCTCACCAACAAATATTTCCTCATCAAACGAAAAAAAATATCTCCTCCTCCCTTGTCAACCCAACTCTAATCCTGATCACCCTCCACCACCCCGCCACCAATATGGTCTCCGAACATTCTTCCTCGAAAACCGTGTGTGTGATCGGTGCGGGGCCCTCGGGGCTTGTGGCGGCAAGGGAACTGAGGAAAGAAGGCCACACCGTGGTGGTTTTAGAACAAAGCCACGACGTCGGAGGTCAGTGGCTCTACAACCCTAATGTCGAAGGACATGAACCCATGGGGCCAAAGGACATGACTCGTTTCTTAGAAGTTCATAGCAGCGTTTACGCCTCTCTAAGGCTGGTCTCCCCCAGGGAGACCATGGGATTCACCGACTTCCCGTTTTCGATCAAGAAAGGAAGGGACTCAAGGAGATTTCCCGGTCATAGAGAGGTTTACTTGTATTTGAAGGACTTTTGTGAGTGGTTTGGATTGAGGGATTGTATAAGGTTCAACACTAGGGTTGAGTATGTGGGAATGGTGGACTATGGAGTTGTTAATGGGAAGGATTTGAAATGGATTGTAAAGAGTAGAGAATGGAAGAGAAGTAATCTTATTGATGATCATGATCATAGTAATAAGGTGGTTGAAGAAGTTTTTGATGCTGTGGTTGTGGCCACAGGACATTATTCTTTCCCAAAGTTGCCTTCTTTCAAAGGTACGATCTCTCTTTCTCTCTCCTCTCTTTTTGGTTACTTTTTTCTTTTTTTCTTTTGAGTTACAATGGGCTCGAGAAAGTGAGAGAAAAGTGATTTTTGAGAATTGAAAACTTCGGAATTGACTAATTGTAATTAATCTGCTCATCATGAACTTCTTTCATGCGCTCGTGTATTTGGTGGTAGAGCTTTATCTTTCTGACTAAAACAGTTCTATTCTTCTTGTTTTTTTTTTAAAGGTAAAACAGTTCTCATTCTGCTTCTTCTTCTTCTTCTTCTTCTATTCTTTCTTTTTTATTTTTCTTTTTCTGAGTTCCTTTTTCAATTTTCAGGAATGGGTTCGTGGAAGAGAAAGCAAATGCACAGCCACTTTTACAGGGTTCCTGAGCCATTTCGAGATGAGGTTATAGATTAATTAATTGATAGAGATCTAACACTGTTTAATTTTTGGTATCTCAAATTGTGTCTAAATAAAATTATGTTACGACATTTAATGGACTGAGAATTTTGAATTTTTCAAATGATAGTGAATAATAAGGTTATTTAGACAGAATTATTTATGACATTAAAAATTAAACGAGTGATCCGGATCTATAATTTGTAAATAGGAGAATTTTGTTGTAACTTTCATACACTCTAATGTGAAGACATAATAGTAATCCCACATATTACATCATACTCATATCACACTACTAATGTAATATAGCCTTTTCATGTATACCCTACTACACATTTTTCTTTAGTTTATGTATTTTATTTATACACGTGTTTTTTGTGTGTAAACAAGTGAATTATTTGGTGGGACTTGAGTGTTTGTGTGTATTTGTTTGCAGGTAGTGGTGATCGTTGGAAATTCACTAAGTGGGCAAGATTTGTCGATGGAACTTGTGGAAGTGGCTAAGGAAGTGTGCCTAAGTTCCAGATCTATGAACATTACTGAAGGGTTATCAAAAGTCATAGCAAAACATGAAAATTTGCATCTTCGTCCTCAGGTACACTTTATATATACATATACATATATATAACTTAATTTATTAGAAATGTGTGCTGTTGAATTGTCTATACCACTTCTATGTACTAGTTAGTTATATAAGAGATATAACTAGTTTTCACTTTAATGATTTTATTTAGTGATTAATAACATTAAGATGTTTAAAACTTTAATTTCAGATAGACACACTTGAAGAAGATGGGAAGGTTTCATTTCTGGATGGTTCTTGGATCATCGCTGACACAATCATCTATTGCACCGGGTAATTAATTAATTTTCCCATTAATTTCCATTTGGAATAATTTGACACTCTTTTAATCGCACATTCTATTATCTAGAAAATAGAGGCCTATATAATTTAAACTACGTGGGGGTCCATATCAATTATCATGTGTGTGATTATGTAAGAAGGAAAGCTGGCTTCATTCATGTCATTTAACGTTTTTCCAACTCTAATTAAAAGGGTTAACCAATTGCTTAATACAACGCATTAATGCAAAGTCAGATAAGACATACTTTTTATAAGTTGTTGTGCTCAATATCAACGATGCGTTTTATGTTTAATTTAAGAAGGAACATTGTCCATATGAAATATGGATCCCTCTCGAAGTTGGTTATTCATATACCTCAACCATCGAGATAGTAACAGCTCAAACACAATAATGTTTTCAAATTAACATCAATAATGTTTTCAAATTAACATTAATTATTAGATAATGCACATAAATATGTGCTTTGGAAAAGAGTTACCCCTCGGCTTTATTTATCAAAAGATGATTGTCTGATTGGTTGATTATGAGCTTTTGACTGGAATTTGGTAGATTTTCTGTGGGTCCCCCATATTGAAATAATAGCCTGTCTTCGATCCTTTTGCATAATAATTATTATTAATGTTCAAAGCAAGTGGGTTATATATATATATATATATATGATATTTATGTGCAGATATTCATACACTTTTCCATTCCTTGACACCAAAGGAATAGTAGCTGTGGATGATTGCAGAGTGGGCCCTCTTTATGAACACACCTTCCCTCCATCACTTGCTCCTTCTCTTTCTTTTATTGGCATTCCTAGAAAGGCACGTACGTATAAGACTTCAAACTCGGTATCTTTTATCAAATTTCGTTAAATTTATATTATTCGATATCTGAAAAACATAATATTACGGTGTCATCATTTTTAATTACATGTTTGTACTACTGTTTTAATAATCTTGAATATGAATGTAAATTTTATTTTTTTATTGATCTAATTGTGTGTTGAATACATAATTAATGCAGATTATTGGATTCCCTTTCTTTGAATCACAAGCAAAATGGGTAGCCCAAGTGTTGTCCGGGAAAAGAACATTGCCATCATGGGATGACATGATGCGGTCCATCAAGGAACTCTACCACTCAAGGGATGTTGCCGGCATTCCCAAGGAAAACACTCACGACATCGCAGATTTTGAGGTAAAAAGATATTACTTTTCTCAATTTTCTTGAATAACATTTAGGGTCTTCTACAATAGAGATTCATACAATTAATACATGTTTTTTTTTATCATATATGGTCAAAATCACATTAAAAAAATATAAAATAAACAGTTCTTAATATAAATTTAACGATTAGAAAACGAAAACTTATAAATAATGTAATTTTTTCTAATCTTATCATTAAAATTTCTTAACATTGGATTTTTTGTGCACTTAATCTAACCGAATTGATTAGACGAGCTCACAATAAATAGGTCCGACATGACACTAGATGGGGACACTCCGTTGTGAGAGCGCTCCATCCAACCCCATCAAGTTGAATAAGAACAACTCTTTAGATATTGTAGGCTTGTAGCCAATAATGCATTTTGTCTATCTTACTCATCTGAAGTATGAAACAAGTGGGCATCATGAGAGCCCTAATAAAAGTTTTAATCAACATTTGTCATGATGAAAAGCAAACCTAGAAGTTGTTGGAAGCTTGATTAATGCAGACTTCTAGATTAATATTAGCAGCAATTACTACTTTGCTATTATATATCGCTTTGCAAATTTAGTTTTACAAATATTATAATTTTTTTTTTTAATCGGGAGGGGGCTTTAGTATTTTTATCCCCGAACTTTTTAGATTTTGACAACTTATTCCTCAAATACCTTTTAATTTGTATACATTTTCCTTTAATGCTAAAATTAGTGCATTAATATTAAATTTTACTCATGGATTGATGTGGCGGGTGATTTTTTATTATGTTGGAATTGATAAATACTACTTTTTGCTAAATTATTTTCCGTATCTCAACAATCTCATTAGGAGATTTTTACGGTAGAATTTGAAAAATAAATTATCAGAATTTGTATAAAAAACGGTTAACTTTTTATTTTAATTGATGTGATTTTGAACAGATTAAATGGTCAAAAACTTACAATACGGGATCATTGTTGTCCTATGGTTAATCTAACAGCATTAATTGTGTGGTGTTAGGATCAAGATTCTTTAGTATTATACTTAAATGGGGACGTTTTATGATACTATATATGTATGTATACATATATATATATATATATATGTATAACCTGCATTCTAAGCACTCTAAAATCAATCGCATTTGCTTTATGTTGCAGTATTGTGATAGATATGGAGATAATGTTGGATTTCCACACCTAGAAGAATGGAGAAAACAGCTGTGCATATCAGCCATAACAAATTCTTTGGTCAACTTAGAAACTTACAGGGATTCATATGATCATGATCATGAGCTGCTTCAAGAGGCTTTTCAGAGTCCACATTTCACTCAACAAGCTGAGCCTCAAGCTATTGCTCTTTAAACTCTATTTTGTATAGTTTGCTTAATTACTGGTTTTATTTGGACCACAATATTGGCTTATTCATTATGACTTCTATATTCTTTTTTTTTTCTTTTTTTAATTTTTGTCCCTTTCCGTGGGAAAGAATTTTCTCCTACCTTTTTGTTCCTTGAATTTGGGGAGGTTGTTTATGGGTTTTGGTAGAATATTAGGACCAGTTGTTGCTGGAGTTTTTTGAAGTATTTGTTTCTTGTCTCCCAGGTAAAAGAAAAGGAGGAAAGTCATGTATAAGTTTTAGTACTTTATTTCGAATTAATTTTTTTTTTTTTTGAAGGCCTTTATCTCCGCATGATAAATTATTATAAGTTTTCTTTTTTTTTTTCCAAAACAATTATTAATTCTAGTTCATGTTCTGAAATATTACAAGAATAACCATTATTTTTAATCATCATATTATTTATGCCGTTAAAAAAAAAAAATTCTGATAAGATATAAAACATATTATGGTAAAATACAAAAAATATCTGGCTATTACAAATATTCTAATAGAATATGATAGCATAAATCATAGATTTAAAATTAATGTCGGAAATAAAATATGTTATTTTTAATTATATTCTTGAAAATTTCCATTTATTTTTCTAAGGTTGCATAATTAATTGCTATAAATGCTTCATTTATTGCTTGCCTAGTTTTGACTTTCTTATTTTCAGTTTTCTTAAAGCTTGTCACTTTAATAGGTAATGACGGTATGCAGGATTAAAATCTTATAAAGGCACCTAAAAAATTCTAAGGAAAAAACTAAAAATACCATTCAAGATGATAAAAAAATATATTATTTATATCATTTCACTTAAAAATAAACAATTGTCATTCAATTAATAAAAAAATAAATAAAACACTATGATGCCATTCAATTATTTAGAATATGACAAACCATTTAATTTTCTTAAAATTCTAATTCAAGAAAAAGAAACAGAAAAACGTTGAGACGCCTCTTCTACGGTTTTTATTTTTTACCTCGTATGTATTATACAGATTGTTGACTTTATTCCCAAAACACATTAATCTTTTTTTTTTTTTTTTACTCTAATTGAAAGTGAAACATTAATATAATTTTCCTTTTGTTTATTTGGTCAATGTCTAGATGCTTATTTTTAATCCTTGAAGGTGAAGGTGAAAAAACAAAATGTTGGTAAGAATTTTGCAGGATTCTTGATATATCAAAAGTTGTTAAAAGAAGAAAATGAAATATTACAAAATCCCCATTTGGTGGTATTACAAAAGTATTCATTCTTATTGTTTACCTCTTAAAAACCTCATCCACAGTATCAGATTTCTTTGGGATAGTTGTGAGGAAAAGAAATTAGTATAATTTTAAGTATAGAGGTCAACGTACAAGATGATGCTCTCCTTGTAATCACAAATTTGTTGTAATGGATTAGATATGGGGTTGATAAATGCACCATGAATTATGCTCCTAATTCAATATGTCACTTAAATTTTGACAAGAGTCTATTTCATCCTCTAAAATACGTAAAGAAGTTCAAAATATCTTATGAACTAATGTACTTCTTAAATAGCCCCTAAACAGCTGATTTTGTGTTAATTTTTCCCCAAATCTTTTAAAAAAATTGTCGGTAAATTGATAAAAAAAAAAAAAATCAATTATTCAGGGGGTAATTGAACTTAAGATCAATAGTTCGAGTGACGTTTATAAAATTATAAGTTGTGTCATATCATCATTTTGTTAGTATTATCAACTAAAGAGGTATTTTGGACTAGAGTACATAATTCAAGAAGTAAAATGAACCATTTTTAAAATTCAGAGGACATGTTGAACTAGGATACATAATTTAAGGGTATAAATTTTATACACAGAATATCAACTGGTCACGTATTTGAAGGTGGTAATTGGAAAGTTAACTCTCAACTTTTATTCAAGGGCTCCCTGTTTGTAAGGCGGGGATATTGTGGAGTGGGGTTGGAGATATTTATAACTGATTTTTTGAAATGCTTAGATCAGGTACATGGCATATGGCACCAACTACTGCTTCTCATTCTAGATTGCTACAAATTAAATATTGATGCAGCTCTCAATAGAAATGAGGGTGTTATTGGCATTGGAATAGGAATATATATATATATATATATATACACACATATAAATGAAACGTGGAGAGAGACGATCAATCATAGTTACTTTGTCAAAACGTGAGAATCTCCACATACTGAATAATATCCACTTATGTTAAGAGATTAAGCTTGTCACCTTAATCCTATCAAAGGTTAATAAATAATGAACTAATAACGCGGAAATTGTCTCAATGAATTTTCTAAAAATTTAAACTTGAAACCTCTCGTCTATCAAGCCACTTGAGAGTAAGTCGATTGCCACTAGGTAGTACCATGGTGATGTGTTGGGGATATATATTTTGTTGGAGCAAATTATGATTTTGTTGGAGCAAATTATGATTTTGTTATGGCTGCAAAATCTCAGGTGATAGGGCTTTATTTTGTCAACGAAGCAAAGACTTTGCAAAGCAATGGAATCCAATTCTGCCAACACACACCAGAGGAAATATTAGTTTGAGTTTTGTTTGTTGGTAATAAGTCAGCTCATTGTCTTGCTCATTTCGCCCTTAAACTTGTTTAGTTAAAGAAAATTTCTCACGTAGTTTGGCATGTTGTACTATCTGATTATCATCATATTGATTTAAGGAAACATGTTTTTATTATTATTATTATTGTCTATTAAAATACCATGTGAAATAAATTTTCTGAAATAACCATAATGAATAGCCACTGCTATGGTGGTCCCGAAAGGCCGGGTAACGCAGGAAATTCGATCTCAGTCAGGCGGGGGCAGAATACTGGAGAAAGTACCAAGTATTAGTAGCATAGCAAGGTTATTCCACCCTATAACGTCTATGAGCTTTAGTGCGACCACTTGGCACTTGAAATAAAATAAAATACAAAAACACCACTATTCCTTCTGCAAGAGATGATCACCTAAAACAGCTCAAGTATGTCATGGCTTCGTTTTCCTATTCCACCACCTAAATATACGTATGTTTATGTCTTTAAGGCATTTACAATATAATCCAATGACTCATAAGAACCCAAATGATAAAAAAAAAGAAGGAGAAAAAAAGAAGTCTACTTTATGTAATAGTTTTTCTCTATACTTGGCTCAGTATAAGCTGCTGATTACCAACTCTAACTGGGCATCTTTGTCCCCGGCGCCTCCTTGTGACCTGTCCCCAACATATTACGCTTCTCTCCTCTTTGCCCACTTTACTGTAAGAACTGCTAAGCTGCTTAAGAGACTCCACTGAGCAACCAACCCCACTGGAAGCAGCCACGGAGGACCGTTTCCGAGCCCTTGTATACCCATTTCTGGCAGCATTTCTCGTCGACCCTGATTCCCAATGTGTACCTGCAGCTTCCATTAGCCCCCCTATTGTCTGTAGATCCTCGGTCACCTCGTACCTTGACAAAGATGCCAGGCAGGGAAGGATCTCCCTTTGGAAGTCCTTCCGCTGCCTTCCACCACGCCTTGTCCTACCCTTCCTTTGCTGACTTGGCGATGAGGAGGTACCTGTTTCCTCCTCTTTCGAGACATTAGTCTTGTAACAGCATTCCTCTAGTTTTGCCTCGGTCAGCTTCAATGTCATGGCCTCAAAGTAGTCCATTTCATCGGGAAAAAGCTCCTCAAAGTTGTTGTTGTTCTTGTCGGTCAAGACCAATCCAAACTCACTCTCTGGATTACTTGCCACCGAAGAAACTACGCCAGCAAACCAATGTAGGGAGTCAAGCAAAGAAACTTCAAGACGTTCGAAACTAGGTTTTTGTAGAGAAGTTGACGACTTGAATGATGAAATGGAGATCAGAGCCTCAGCGGCAATCTTGGCGAGCTCATCCTGCTGATCAGCACCTTCCTGTCCCAGCAGTAGCACTGGTGTCTCGGCTTGATTTTCATCAGATTCTCCTCTGGGTGGAGAACTTTCCTTGTTTTCTGGACTTGCAGGTGCATCCAAATCAATTTCTGCCAAAAGTGAGGACTTTTGAGTAAACCTGGCTTCATTTATGGATGAGTTTAGGTCAATGAGACATCCAAAACTAGAATGCTTCCTGTTGACTCCATTCTCTCCTACATGTTCATCTGCAGTTAGTTCTATTTCAGTCTCGGATGCTGAATCGCAAGCCAAGTTCAAATCAATAACAGAATCCTTTCCACTGCTCTTCACATCTTGAAGTGGATTCTGCCAGGTTTTGTGGAGACTGCTGCTAGGAGAGCAGTGGTGACCAAAAATGTAAGACTTGTTATGGTCATGAAATCCAGGAAGCCTTTTAGTCAAGCAATCGCTGGTCTCGACCTTTTTTGGCTCAACATCACAGATACCTGCAGAATAAGCTTCTATAGAAACAGGTTCCACCCTGGTTAAACTTCCATGTCCATTATTCTCTTTCGCATTATGAACAGACTTTTCTCTAAGCCAATTAAGCCCGCCCACGGAATATCCATGATTTTCTGTTCCATCTGTTGTCTGCGCATTTTGGGAAACTGCAAACTCAGAAGAACAACTAGGTGGCTTGGAATTTAGGTAGACATCATTTGAAGATCGGATATTGAGGCTATGGTTATCGGGCATTAACTTGCTGCCTCCATCAAGCTCTGATTTTCCAATTGATGATTCACATCGTTTACCTAAATGCACAGAGGTGCCAAAACAAGGGAGAGCTTGAACCGCTATTGGCTTCCGTCCAGATTCACAAGGGAGTTTCTGAACTGCTAAACGCCCAGTATTTTTCATATTGGTCCAAGAACCTTGATTGTTGAAATTGCTCTCATAAAAAGAAGCATGTGGTCCATGATGGTTGTCATTTGAGGGAGCAGAATTTCTTCTGGAGTTCTCTAAATCAAGAATTGTTATTTCAATTAACGAACTTTGATTTCCCTGATGAAAGGTCGAAGGTTCATAGACTTTCTCAAGGTCTTTGTTTGACGATTTAGGAAACAAGGATGATTTTTCCGCATTGAAAGCGTGAAGAAAAGAGTTCAAGTTGCTTCCAAGCTTCCCTGAAAAAAGGAGTTGCTCACAATATAAGAAGATTGCAGGTTCTCGTCGTGACTTAACCGAACTATGTACAGCTATAAAAAATAAATTTATCAACTGAAGGGGGGAAAGTGAAAAGGGATAAATTTATCAAATGAGAAAATTATATATTAATGCCACTTTGGAATAGAGTTCTCACCAGCCTTATCATGATAGGATAGCTGCTCCTCTTTTCCCCCTGTTTCTGAAAGTAAAAAATTTGTCGAAACTTCAATATCTGGCCTTCTTGAGGCATTCCGAATAGATTCGTCAAATGAATATTGAAAGCCTAATTTTGCCTTTTCCAACGGTTCAGAGCATAGAAGCTTACTGTGACTAGAAGGGCCCACAAATCCATTAGACAAAGAACCTACTTCTTCCTTGAATTTACCTGGTTCATTTAGGTCAGGGGACCATTTTTGTTTCTCTAATATCGAAGGATTTTGGACAGCACCAAGGAAAACAGAGTTCGATGCATAACTGCCAAAAAATGACTTTACATCACTGGTATAAACAACTTGTGGAGATCTCTTCACAGAGTAACTTGATACCTCGGACACCTCAGAAACCTTCTCATCGTCTAAGAGGTCCTTGTCTTCACTATCAATGTACTCATCAGCTGGAAGTTGAAGATCCAGCAATTTTTTTCCAATTTTCTTGCCTTTGGATTCGAATAATTGAACATCTTCTGCACATGCTTCAGATCTAGTAGAGTAAGAATGGCGTACTTGAGCCTCCTTCCCTTGAAATGAACTCAATGGTGACTGGACTTGACTGCCAGCAGGCTTTATCAAAGGGAATCCGGAGACTTGAAAAGTCTTTTGGTCATATTCCGATGATGTTTGAAAGAATGGAGTATTGGAATGTGATGCTTCAAATCTTAAATAATGTTTATTTAAGTTATTCCTTCTAATTTTATCCATCAGTTCCCTTTGTCTTCTGTAAAGGCGGTGGAGCTCCTGAATCTGTAATGGAGAAAACAAATTTAAAGCATGTGTATAAGAAGTGTAAATTCGTATTTGCATGCAATGATAAATTGATGAAAGTCTATAATGCAGTTAAACAGCCAAAAGAATGGCGCAATTGACAGTTCATTTCTCTTGGTCTTTTAGGTTAATATTAAGTTATACGCAATGCTTGGACATTAATTGCGTACAACATACATCAAATTTAATAGTCAGGTTAACCCAGATAAAAACACAATGCACAGAGACATTTTTTTCTGACAATTACAGCTATTAAAGCTAAAGTTACTAAACTAGAAGTATTACAAGCTCTCCATCACAATTCCCAAAGACCAAAATTACAATTATTAAATGCACTAAAAAACTTCAGCAGTTACTGTGAGAATGTTGAACTTTTACTTTCTAATACCATAGAGAAAGAGCTCCTCAAAAATAACAGAATCAAATTGAAAATTTACGGGAAACATACTCTTTAGGTAAGACAACTACTCAATATTAGTGATAACCTCATATTACGTGTAATTGTCTACACTCTGCAGACCATTCTCAAGGACCCGAAAAAGGGGTACAGACAGTTCTCTAGAAGCCGAAAGCAGGGTAAGATACAAATGATTATGTGCAAAGCAAAATGCAAGTACTAAAACAACATAATGTACCAAAGCACATGTCACAACTTACAACAAGGCAACAAGCTGTACTTCTTAATTGACACTGAAAGTTGAGAAAGATTTTACCTGATCCTTAAATATGGTTTCATGCTTGAGCATTGTCTGCTTCAACACGTCCTTGTTGTACGCTAAAAGCGAGTTCGAAGATGAGAAGCCATTATAGAAGTTTTCGCTCTCGAAAATCTTATCATGACAATTTGAACGCCATGTACTCCCATTAGCATCCAAACTAAGATTCATCGGAGAGTGATATCCTGGGAAATAGCCATTACACTGCATGTTTGCTTCCATCTCTAACAGTTCCAATATAAAAGTAGTAAGTTATGCGAACCGAACAAGCTGGAAAAATTTAAGTAGTGCAATTATACAAACCCATTTAATAAGATCAAACAAGGGAAAGAAATAAAAGGAGAAAAAAAAAGTGAAGGAATCATTTTAAGTAGTACAAATGGGCATTAGAACAAGCTTAATACTAAAGAAACCGTTACACCCAAAATAATCCAACACTTGGCGAGTCAATTTGAAACAATTTGAAGAAACTTCAGAATATTAACATGAAAAATGAGCCATGAAAAATGAGAAAATATATATGTGCACACTCCAGATATCCTTCAAAGCTAAGTATAGGAGACGCATTATTAAGAAAAAATAATCTTTTAGCAAAAGAAAAATTAATTAAAAAAACTAATGGCTTTGAAATACAGAACAGAACAGAACAGAACAAAACATACATAATAGTTTAAAGAGCTGATTCTTTTCTTTTTGCATATTTCTCCGAATAGCATAAATCTAAGTACCAAACTCTTCATAATCAAAACATATTAGAACCTTAAACAAACTACAAAAGTTAAAAAGATGAATTCATAAAAGAACAAAAAAGACGAATCTAACATTCAACAATGTATTAAAGTTGGGTTAACAGAATCAAAGAAAAAGCATAAACCCCACCAAAAAAAAAAAACGCAGATTTATAAAAAGAAAATAGCAACATAAATTTTCTACGAAAGAAAAAATAATAGTAATCAAGCAAATTATCGCAAAAGTTGACGACGTTTCAAGTTCCAATCTAATACATTGAAAAAAATTACCTAAAAATAGATAAGTAGTCTTCTTCTTCTCTTCCGATATCTTCTCAAGAAGAACCCATCTTCAAGGATTCACTCGTGTATGTCACAGCTCATGAACTGCCAAAGACGAAGAAAAATGAGAGGAGAGAGAGAGAGAGAGAGAGAGAGGAGAGAGAAACACGAATCAGGAATCGGGAATCAGAACATTGTGATCGAAAAATAAAAAAAGGAGGAGATGACAACGAACATCAAAGTGGGCATTTCGTGAAAATGGGCGTGAATGAAAAGCGGATAAAACGAAAGATTTTGGATCGTTTCGGATCTGCTGGGCCATTGTCTCAAGGAAGATATTGTAAGAGAGAGAAAATTTTGCAGAAACAAACGAAACTTACATGAGAAGGGACATGAAAGTTGTCTTCTACACCCTCTCTCTCTACTCTCTCCACTCTCTCTCTCTTTCTCTCTCCTCATCCTTCAATCTCTTTCCTCCATTTATGTTTTTGGGTTTTTCTTTTTTGGTGGGATTTTTGAGAAATTGGTGTTTGTCTTTAAGAGGGTCTAGATTCTCTCCACCATTTTTGTATCTGGTACAAAGCTCATCCTCTTCTTTTGAAGAAAGAATTTTCCTTTTTTTTTTCTTTGGAAATGATAATGAAAGTTTGAACAAATGGGAATTTTAATAATTAACTCATTTGTTTCACTAATTTAGTTTAATTTAAATCAGTTTAAAAAGTGAATATAGTTTGAATTGGTATTTAAGTATATAATTTAAATATATTTTTCATTTGAATTGAGTTAAATAATTTATTTTAAAATTTAACTCTTTTTAAATTTAATCGTTTAAATCATTTTTAAATAATAAAAATTGCTCGTTCTTTCTATTTTTCACACTTAGCACACACAAATTCAAATTTTATTCATTATTCAAATTAAAATTTCAATTACACATTCAAACGTCAATTTAAATTACACAATTTGAGTTTTTCTGTTTAAATTAAAAAATTTAAATTAATAAAATTCAAACTAGCGAACCAAACAGGAATAAAAATTAAGAACAACTTCAATTATACTAGTTATTTCATATTTTTAGTCAAAATATCTAATGATTTAGATTTTTTTTTTTTAGTTTTCTCCACTCTATGATTAACTATTTTGACTAAAATATTTTTCACTAACTAAATATAACTAACAAAAAGTTGTTAACTATTTGTTATTTTTATTATTTTATTTTTATTTTGACATAAAGTAAAAATTAAAAAAATATATTTATATTTTAAACTCAAAAAAATATTTAAATAATTTATATTTAATTAAAATAAAAAATATAATTAGGGTGATTCACTGAAGAATATAATTAGATATGTTTAAAAGAGAATAAAATTTTTAAAAAAAATCAGACAAACAGTACAAGGGAAAGCTGATTTTTATTCAACAACAGACACAACTATCTCTCAAACTACCTTGATTTTCCCAATTTTAATATTATTTTAGTGGAATTTTTTATGGATTACTTTTTTGTTGGTTTCTTTTAATTTTTAAATTAGTTATTACTTGAAATCTCTTATCTCTTTTAAATAAATAAAAAAACAACATTAGTCAGCAGTGGGCCCCACTTAATAAAGTATGCAGCATGCTGATTCTGTGAAATTTCTTTTTTGCAATGATGTCCTATTACTTTCCCTTAATTACAGAAATGTGTACTGCGTTTTCTTTTACCTTTGATTTTCCACTTTTTACTCATCCCTTTTTTTTTTTTTTTTTGTGAAGTTTCCTTTACTTTAATTTAAGCTTGTAGAAGGGAAAGGGATTTGATGAGATTTGAAGAGGGAAAAACAAAAAGGAGAAAGAAAAATAAAAAGTGACGGGTTTCGGTTGATTTTTGGAGAAGAAAAGGCCAAAAGGAAAAGGGAAGAAAAAGAAAAGAGAAGAATGATTACAAGATAATCAGGCCTCGTTTATTTCGCGGATTCCAATTTTTAATTTGAGTTGAGATATGATATTTTCTGAGAGTTTTTTATTATAGCAAAAAATTTTGATGTAACATTTTCTGAGAGCTTTTTACTGTAGAAACCTAAAACTGAAAACTCAAATCAGTGAAATGAACGAGGCTTCAGTTACTTTACCTAAACACTTGAATTCTGAAGAACTTTTTTTTTCCACTTCCAACATTATTATAATAAAAAGTCTGATACTTATTAGATTAGTATTTAATGGAAGGTGGCACATAGTAATCAAATTATTAGTGAGTATTCTTCGAACTTTGCTTATTCAACTATATGCAGAAGAAGATACAAAAGTTGGTGAGTCATTTTGTCCCATCAATGCCTAGAAATAGTTATATTTTTGTGCCATTAATTCATGACCCACATCATAATTTGATTACTTATAACCTAAAATACGTGAAGATCTTAAACAAGAAAATGTATGGCATGTGTAAGTTACATATGATAGAGGTATAATTTCAATTAATTAAGAATCCAATCATATCTCTGTTTTTATTATTTCAAAAGCCACAAATCAGTTATATATACACATAAATTCATAATTAATTAAAAATTTACAATCGAATTACAACACAACTAGTTAAATCTGGTCATATTATATAACACTTTTTCGGTATTGGATAATGGCCAAACAAGATTTGGCTGTTAAATTTTTTTGTTGTCGGGTCCGAGCTAATAAAATCAGCTTCCAACGATCTACTAATTGTTTGTCATTTAACATCAAATAAATTACATGCTCTATACGATCTGAAAAATACCGGTTGTATATAAAAGTTCATGCCTACCGATAGGCGATTTGAATGAGGAAAAAGTTGGTCCAGACCGGACAAAGTCCGACGGGCCAACCCGACATGAAATTTTATAAGACAATTTTTAAAAAAATATCCAAACTTTGAACCCGAAACTTTATAAGGCAATTTATTTAAAATAATAATAATAAATAAAAATGGACTAATTGGGTCGGGCCAAAATGATGACTTCGGGTTGGGTCAAAAAATTGTAGTTCTAGTTGTTGTATAGTTATGTCATAATATTTGTTTGTAGGTTTAGAGGACCAATTTGAAATTTACTCTTGAGTCTTGCTTTTAACTTTTTTATAGAATAATGGTATATTGTTACCCAAATTGAAATTTTTAGAGTCTTAACGAAAGCTATGGAATGTTCAAAAGGGTTCAACTACACCTAAAGTTTCAATATCTCTGTTATAAAATAAGAAGACTAAAATGTTAGTTACAACCATACATATGAATTAAAAAGTTTTATGGTAGAAAACTAAAACGCGTTTCAGTCACTTCAGCCAAGATAAAAACAAGTGCCTTTCTAAGCCTTAATTACTCAAAAATTCACAAATCTTATAATAAATTTTGTTTCGTTCTCAATTAATTTTCGCTAATCAATCCAAAAAAAAAAATAAACTCAATTCATATATTCTCACTTTTTTTTATGGAAATATATAGCAAAAAATTTCTGTCACATTTTACCCAAAGAAGAAAAAAAGAAATTTCACTGATTCGAGTTGAGATGTGATTTTATGTGAGTATTTTTTACTGTAGTAAAAAAATTAAATGTGATTGTTTTTAAGAGCTTTTTACTGTAACAAAACTCAAATTTTAAACTCGAATCAGCAAAATAAACAGGACCTAACAAGACTTCATTGAAACAGCAAGGCTTTAAAAAGGATTTGGTGTTGATATCTCTAAATGGAATCTCTTCTCTGAGTATAACAGAGATGAATAAAAAGTGTGGCCCCACCTAGAATTTTTGCAGTATAAGTACTTGTGTTCCATATACGCAGTTTTTGTTCAGCACAATATTGAGGTAGCTGTAAGGGTGGCCATCGGTGTTTTTAGGTTAAGTTTGTGTTAATCTGTTTATTAATTGTTTTAAAAAATATCAATTTAAATATGATTTGATTTGTTTATTAAATGTGTTAAAAATATCAATTTAAATATAAGTAATTTATTAATTATATTAATCGTGTTAACTTATATAATCTGTTTAAATTAATATATTAAATAAATAACTGATATAATAATGACTTATTTAACACGATCAAGATAAGTTTAACATATTTATTGGTCAATTTATCTTTTTTTTTAAGAAAAATAAAAGAATTTTACCTACAAATATTAAAATTCACATTATTTGTATTTAATATGTCATATATCATTAGATTGCATATGACATATATAGTTAATCATGTCAATTCATGTTAATTCATGTTAAGAGGTCAACCGTAACCCAACTCATTTTATTAATCTTGTTAATCGTGTCAATTCGATTATGACCTAAACTCATTTATAGTAAACACAAACTCACTAATTTCGTGTGAGTTTCGAGTCATGTCGCTACTTGGATTGCCAGCCCTAGACAGATGTAATCATGCAACACAAATGGAACAAAAGTTGGACCGTCCTATAAGCTAGAGAAATGTTTTCCACACCCTAAACAATTTGTAAACTGCTACACATATAGGGATTTTCTTCGGTCGCTTCGGTGATAGGTCCCTCCAACGTGACACTTTATTATGAAAACGTAACATGAAAATTGTTAAAAGTAACATCGATATTGAAGAGAAGTAACGCCAAAGAATTAATTAATCATGTAAAGACTATATTACTTATCTCTAAAATCGATATTACGTTCAGTAATTATCATGTTACGTTTTCATGACTACATGTTACATTAGAGAGACCGAAAAAAAAGTTATATATTAATCCTAGATTTCGTTTGTGTCACATATGGCCCCAGTGTATATAAGTGGGAGATTATTGTTTGTTCTCACATTTTTTCAGTAAAAAAAAATAGATGATCTTACTTGGGACTCAGTTAGGTCTATGCAATTTACCATGTTAACAATGTTTTTTTTTTTAAAAAAAAAAAATCATTCCGAAAACATAATCTCGAACGAAACAAGAAAATAATGATAGCAGTGTCCATTAGATCTCATTTGTTGGTATTGTTCGTTTTTCTTCGACGAGTTTCATGATTTTTCAAACTATAGGAAGCTAACAATAGTTGTGTGTGTGTTTTGTTTTTTAATCAATGATCCGTTGAAATTAAAGTTTAAACCTACCAAGTTTAATTATTCTAGATTTAAATCAGAAGCACACTTTCTGGTTAGGTTTATGAGCATCATTCGTTTGTTAATATAAACAACATTGACAGAAAATTGTGATCATGGCTGAGTACACAATGCCAATAACTCAACTACTCAAGGACATGGAGGTAAAAGCCGAGGGGCAAGACAAAAAGAAAGAAAAAAAATATCGTTGTCAAATCATTGAATATTCTTAATATGGCCGGGTGTCATTTTGTGATGAAAAATAATAATAATAACGAGGAAAACTACGGATCTGTTTAGTTCGCTGATTCGAGTTTTTAATTCGAGTTGAGATGTGATTTTATGTGAGAGTTTTTTACTGTAGTAAAACTCAAATTCTAAACTCGAATCAGTGAAATGAACGGGGCCTACATA